AGGAAGGCGCTCCTCGCCACTGCTGTCACCTGAGCTTCCAAAGAAAGCTCCGGGTCGAGGAGTACTCCTAAGCTGCGGACCTTGTCCCTAAGAGGGAGTGTTGCACCATTCAGGACCAGGTCAACTCCACCCTCTCCAAAGCCTGATCCGCCAACCAACAGGACCTCCGTCTTGTCTGGGTTGAGTTTCAGTTTATTGGCCCTCATCCATTCCATTACCTCGGCCAAGCACCGGTTCAGCACAGCCACTGCCGCACCTGGATTAGTGGAAAACGAGAGGTAGAGCTGGGTATCATCAGCGTACTGATGATTCCGCAGCCCACACCTCCTGATGACCTCTCCCAGCAGTTTCATATAGATGTTAAATAGCAGAGGGGATAGAATGGAGCCCTGTGGTACTCCATGGCATAGCTGCCATGACGCAGAGACATGGTCCCCCAGCACTACCTTCTGGAATCGACCGTTGAGATAGGAGCGGAACCATTGCAAAGCAGTGCCTCCAACCCCCAATCCCGCTAGCCTATCCAGAAGGATACCATGGTCGATGGTATCAAAAGCCGCCGAGAGGTCCAGTGTATCTACCATCTACCAGTGTATGATGAGGATACAGTCGGTGTCCTCCATCTGTAGTTTGCTCAATACCTTTGTTGGAAGGGGAACATAGAGAAAAGGCTGAAGGAATCCCTTGATCCGTGGGAGGAGGAATGCATCTCTGAATGAACTGAGTCTTCTTCCTATCATGCTGCAAAAATGAGGGCAGACAGTGTTCACCTGAGTGGTGAAAAGAGCCCCAGACAAGACATCCCTTTTTTCCCATGGGGAAGTGTTCAGCTCCCGTTTGTGGGAGTCCTGATGTCTCTAACTCACTAAGTCTGCTGGTGTCTATTCCAGTGATATGAATCACAGTGATTTGTATTCTTATTTGAATGGACCAATCCTGTATTACTGAGTGCCCCCTTGCTTGTTGAAGTTCCATACCACCATTGTTTTGTCAGATATTATTTGGATAGGACAGCTGCACATGTAGTCCCAAATGCCTTGAAGGTCTTCTGGACTGCTCAAAGCTCAAGTTAATTGATACCATTCCCCTTTTCAGGCTGAGTCTAATCCTCCTGTAGAATCATAGGTCCACAATTGGCATTGTATCCCAAAAGGGATGCATCTGTCAAAATCATGACCATGGGTGGCAGAGGTAGAAAAGGGATGACCTTTTGCAGGTTTGGAGGATCTTTCTACTAGGCAAGACTCATTACTGTGTATTGAGGCAGAAAGATGCAAAATTTTCCATGATTATCATCCAAACAGACTGTTTGAAAGAACCACTTTTACAAAAGTCTTATTCAAGCGTAAGGAATTACTGTAGCTATGGATGACATGAGTCCCAAAAAGCATTGTAATGTATGAGCAGGGACCAACATTTTTAGATTGGGGTTGCCTTGCAAGTAAAATAATAGCTTGATTTAATCCTGAGGGAGCTATGCTTTGCTCTCAATCCAGAATTGCTCCTGACTCAGTTGTGTTAGATTCAAAATAGACTTTTCACAGTTGAAATAGATACCTAGCCTTGTCAGTGAAGCCAGGGTAGTTGACACAGTTTGATGCAGCTGAGTTGCTATAGAGTTCAACTTGAATCAATAGTATAAAAAGATGGAATTGAATCCTCTTTCTTCTTAGATAGACACAAACATCTGTAACACACTTGGTGAATCCTTGTAAAATGCTTGCAAGACCAAGCAGGAGCACTGTGAATCTTGGTACCGACAGCAAAGTGAAGGAAGCAATGATAACTCTCCTCTATTGCCACATGAAAATAGGCCTTCCTCAGGTCAATTGGGACCAATCTTTTTTTTTTTTTTGTAGAAGAGGCAATCTTGATCGTAGGGGTGTAATCTGGAATTTTCAGGTGGTAAAGCATGAGTTGATTGCCTGTAGGTTCAAAATCAGCTGAAGTGCTTCATCCCTTTTTAGCACCATGAAATAAAAGGGTAGATGCTTGCCTCTTGAGATGGAACACTTTTGATAACTCCCTTCTGTGGGATAGTAGATACCTCCATGATGAGAACACAGCATGTGAGTGTAACTCAGATGCAGATAAAGGGAGGGAGACCATCAAACTCAATCCAGTAGTTTCTTTGGATTATGGAGAAAACTCAGAAATTTAATGTCATTGAATTCCACATTGGCAGGAAAGTCTGAAGGTAGGGGTGACAGGAGGGATCAGCAGAAGTGGGGAGCCCTAGGTGTTGTTGGTTGACAGCTCTTGATCTAGGTGTTGTTTGCTTGACATTGTGAACATTGTGAAAATTGTGAAACATTGTGAACATTGTGAAAATATGTGCAACAGTAGTAGGATTTTGGCATTGAAGTGACAGGTGTGTAAGAAGGTCTGTTCACCTGTTGACCTTGTGGGAAGAAGCTAGAATGCTTAGTCCAGTGAAGTTGTTGGCAGGATGGCAAGGTAAGTGAGTTAGTCCTGTCTTAGGCAACTTTGCCTTAAGCCTTCTGGACCATATTAATTAAGGTGCATTAAAAGTGGATCTTCCAATCAAAAGGTAGGTCTTTGATATGAGACCAAGTTTCTTAAGACAGGCCAATGAAATGAAGTCATGCATGGCAGCACAAAGCTATAGCCCTGACCATAGCCTTAGCTTCACAGTCAGCCTGGTAATGAGATGTATGTATTTGTTCTTTAAAGAGCTGATTGAAAAACTTGAGTCAGTTTGCATTGGACTCTGGTAAATAGTTGTCAAGAAAGCTCATCTTTGTCCATAAAAAACAATTGATAATGTGACATGGCAGCCTGATAACTGGCCCTGCAGATATATAAATTCTCTTGTCAAATCCAGCTGTCTATCATCCTTGTCCTTGGGAAATAAATGAGAGTCTTTGAATGACCATGAGATGACTCCTCTATGAGAGGATTTGGTGGAGGGTGAGAAAACAGAAATCTTTTTTCCTGGACCCTATGCATGTGCTATAAGCACTTCAAAATAGGAGCCATGAAGGATGGTGGCTTCCATGACTACTGCATTGTCTGGAGCAAAGTGGATAGAAAGGAAATGCTACTGTTTCTGATGTTTCAGTGTATACCACATCAAGGACAGAATCTTTTAAGTCTTTGTCCAAGCTGTTGTGGCATGAGTCTGATAAGAAAGAAAGCCTCATCTCTTTTGATTGAGAGAGTTTTCAGTTCAACACTACATCCGGAGCTGATACAAACGGCTCAGTTGATGTGTGATGCACGAATCATGATTAAACGCAACTTAAAGTTTAACTGAGCAAAAATTGCAGCATTAAATTGGCACATTTCTTTTATACGTAGTAGTGCAAGAATACAGAAATCTTCAGCTTCTTAATTGGCTAGGCTGAAGAAACCAACTGGTAATTTCATTCTGGTTAGTAAAACAATATGAACAATAACTCAGTTGTAGGATCATCCTAGTGAAACAGTGCTTTTACTCCAATTTAGTGCAAATAATACAAAGCAGCCACAGTTTTTCTTTACAAGTATTTAAGCTGAATACAAAACTGGTTAGTGATCAGTTGGTAAAACAGTTGGAAACAGTCTGAGACTGACTTGTAAACCATCTACGGTTTAGTGATAGCTGAACTGGCAAATCATAATTACAGCTATTATTTTTTCTTCACTGGTTACTTTGGCATGAAGTTGGAGGTAAAAGTAAAGAGCCAAGTGCAGAACAGATGTAGATAAGCAGTTGGAAAACTCCTACTTTAAGTATGTGGTAATTTAGCGCTAGTTTTAATCATCTGCTGCTTATGCAAAAAATAGTTACCTTAGGAGAAAGAAATCTAACTTCAGATAATGTTTCCTGAAACCAAAACCTTATTAAAAGGTAGAAAGTGGTAGGCAGTGGCCTCACTAAATCTAAATGAAAAATGTAAGTAAATAAATATCTAAGTAAAATCCTGAAAATGTGAACTTTCAGTCTCCCTCTGATATTCAAATGGTTCCACTTGTATAGCTGCATCTGACATTTTCAAGATACATGGTTATGCTCATCCCAGTAGAGCCTTGAATCAAATGATATATAAGTTTGAACTTCCAAGATGTACAATAGGTAGCATATGGATCTATGGATGAACCCATCCTAATTGAGGTAAGTACAATCCAGAAGCAAATGTAACACCTCCTATGCTCTGTAGCCAGTTCCTATTGCATGTACAGCCTAACCCTGGTTTATACAAAGGATAACATCTACTGGTGCTGCAGTTGATGAAACTGCAATAGCATAAACCAGTGTTAACACAATAGGACTCAGGCTTGTTAGTGCAACAGGGAAATACAGCTGCTGAACTTCAGCAGAATGCCAACTGAATATTTCCCTCCTTTTTGCTTTGTACTGCTGAAGTCAGTGTTTTTACCTGTTGCACTAGTAAGCATTAGTTACATTGCCCAAGCTTTGATTAATACTAGTATAACATTATTAGTGTCAGTAGGAGGTATAATTCGATACTGGCCATCAGGGAATCTAGTAATACAAGATAGCATTAATGGGTGTTCAGTAAGTATAGGGGCTTTAATTGATGGGTCCTAAAAGCAGGTTTTTTACAAATGATCCCCAGACCTCCCTCCCCAGAAAAGTATGCATTTGTATGCTAAAAGCATCCAGTACTGTTCAGTATATGCTATGGCAGTTGCAATCGATTATCTATTGTTTTAATTACTGTATCATTGTATTTTATACGCTATTTTAATCACGGTAAGCTGTCCTGAGCCGTTCAACAGAAAGGACGGGATAGAAATGTTATTTATCAATCAATCAATCAATCAATTGGCACTTCTGGTGAATGGCATATTGAGTAGGACTACTTGTAGGTGAACTGCCAGATGGAGATATATGCACACAGTCTCTTATATCATCTCTTTAAGAAAAGTACTTCAATTCAATTCAATTTAAATGTGATCTGTTGAAAAATTGGAAGGTGGGTTTCTCTAAAAGTCTCCTAAAGGTAAATGTATACATATTTCTCTGTTTTTAGGTTGGAAACTATAAGCGGACAGTAAAACGCATTGATGATGGTCACAGACTTTGCACTGATCTCATGAACTGCATTCATGAGCGTGCAAGGATAGAAAAGGGATATGCTCAGCAATTAACAGAATGGGCTAAAAGGTGGAAACAACTTGTAGAAAAAGGTAAATGAAAATTTTGTCTCTTAAAAATATTTGCACATATTTTCTGTATTGATTATGGAATGCAAATCCACATAATTACCTAGGCCACCTTAGGATAGTAAAAAGGCAATGCTGACACCCTATTTGTGGAATTGGCTGCCCAGAGATGTGCGCCAGGTGCCTTCTTTGTACACATTTGGGTGCCAGGCAAAGACTTTTTTTTTCAGAATATTTTAACTGATAACAGTTTTAATTCTAATTTTAATATTTTAATTGTTATTTGTAAGATGCTGTCCAATCTGTTAGTGTATGGTGTCAACACGGTGCTACTGCTGTGGGTATGGATGTTTTTATTGATACTGAAGTTTTATTATTCATGCTGTATTACTGACTTTGTTAATACATTGTTTTTTATGTTTTGTTGATAGTTTTTAATAGTGTAAACCATCCAGAGAGCCATGTGGTTATTGTCATGGTCTGTAAAAATTAGATTATGATGATGATGTAAACATTTTATCTCTCTGCTTCTGGATATCATCTGAAGTGGTCCTTTGTTTGTAAGCAGCTGGGTCATAAAGTTGCAGAAAACAAAACCTCTTTGTGTTAGTTAAATACTTGGTCATTGTAAGTCAAAACCAGTGGATTGTTTTAGCTTATTTAATAACTTATTTAGAAAAAATAATATGAAATGCTAGAACCGAAGCTAAATGTAAGTGACTTTTGGCCTTACTGAATTGTCTAGAAATTGATTTGTAAGTAAGATAGAAAAAGAGCAAGTCAGAAGGGGCCTCCCGAGCCATCTAGTCTGACCCCAGCTCCAACTGGCTCTGCTCACGACATGCCCACCATGTGCCTGTCCAGCTTATCTTTGAACACCCTCACCGATGGGGCCTCAACCACCTCCCGTAGAAGTCCATTCCATACCCTCGAGGTCCTAACTGTCAGGAAGTGCTTTCTGGCATCTAAATGGAACCTTGGTTCCCTGAGCTTTGCTCCGTTGGAGCACATCCTGCCTTCCTCTGCAGGGGAGAACAGGTCTCTCCCACCTCCGCGTGACATCCCCTCACATACCTGTATGTCACCAACAGATCCCCTCTGAGTCTCCTCCAGACTGAAGAGACCCAGTTCTTCGTCGTAGCCTCTGTGCATCACACATATGGGTGCTGCGCCTGTGCAGTGCCTAGGCTGGAAGATTAGAAAGCTAATGGTTTGGCAGGAAAACTCTGCTCCCCTCCCCCCAGTGGTATAAATAGAGTGGAGTGTCCGCCATTCTGCTCAGTCTTTGCGACCGCCGTTCGCTGTGCCTCGTGCCTGTTCGTCTCTCGCTTAGATCCTCATGCTTACTGTTCGTTTTACATTTTTGCTCTATATCTTGTTCCTATCTTCTTATACTCCAAGTTTTTTGCTCTTATCCCTTCTTTCTTTTCTTCGTTCCTATTAAAAAAAACAAATATTATCTAACCCTCTGCACTATCTTCTCTTTTCTATTTTTCGCGATGGCACAGCGAGCGGCATTCTGCAAATGTGTTGAGTGTGGATCCAAAATGTCGCCCGTGGATCCACACGACCTCTGCCTCGGCGAGGGGCATAGAACCGATAAGTGCGGCCATTGCTTGGCCTTTACCAAGCAAGCTAGAAAGAATAGGGAGAATTGTCTCCACAAACTCTTATGGGACCAGGCCTTGATGCAATCTGACCGACTGGTCTTAAGGCCTGGCTCCTCAGCCGTGCCTTCTCAGCGCTCTTCTGCTGGCGCACCTGCGAAGCGCCCTGCTCCGGCTTCAACTGCTTCTCCACATCGTCCTTTGGATGAAGATGCCACTTCGATGGAGGCCCAGCAGCTCCCTTCTTCTCCAGCTAAGAAGCGAGAAAAGCACAAACATACCGGCTCAGACAAGCCTTCTGCACATAAGAAGCCGAGAAAGGAAAAGGCAGACAAGACCGTCCGTAAAGGCAAAAATCCCGACCGCCCCAAACACAGTGGTTCGGGTTCATCAGGCTTCTCTGTACCGACCGCCACCGTGGGACCGACTCCCTCGGGACTGGCCCTGCAATCCGCGATGCAGGTGACCCCTCCCGGATCCCCCAGGCAGCCTATCAGGCCTGAGAGTGTGCCTTCTCAACAACCAGAGGAGCCGCTTAGGGAGTCTATTTTTGACGGATTGATTAGAGACTCCCCACTGAGGGAACGCTCCCCTACTCCGATGCTGGTGGCCGAACCACCCGCAGATTCGCCCTCGCCTCCAAGACATCGAAGCTGAGCATCCGAGCATGGAGATGATGATGCATGGGTATGGTGGTTTCCCTACTTGGGGTGAATACCAACCATATTCTTTTTACCCACGGGACCGTCAGTCACCATCAGTGCCGAGGGAGGCCCCATCTACATCGAGGTGAGTGGAGAGAGGGAGGCTGACCTCTCTGGAATCTGCATCTTCTAGTGATTGCCACCAGTATCTTGAAGACTCGGACAACTCAGAGGTTGACTCTACGTCTCCTGATGTGGCTATCACCTCCCAGGGTCCCGCCTCCCCTGACGAACCACACATCACCTTTGCGGAGCTCATCTCCCGTCTCCTTCAGTCTCTGGAGACTGAGGCCCATCATCGTCCAGGTCCCAGTACCGATTGTTTTTATGACATCGTCAGGGGAGAGCAGTCCGCAGCCATAGCCCTGCCACTCATTATGACGCTCCGACAGGCTATGGTCCAGCCTTGGGATCAACTGGCTCAACCACAGACAATGTCCCATCGGTACAAGGCCATGTATCAGGTGCAAGAGGACAACATTCCATTCTTACTCCGTCACCCAAAGCCAAACTCTGTGGTGGTTGAGTCCTCCCAGGGCAGGGAGTCGAGGGGACACATGGCTCCTCGTGACAAGGAGCAGAGGAAAATCCATATGCTCGCGCACCGGGTCTATGCAGCCTCTGGGCTTGGCCTCTGCATATCGAATTAAGAAGCAACACTGGCATGTTACCAGTACTTCATAATGCAGAAACTGGATAACGTTGCTGCCTCCCTTCCGGACCAACAAGCGGACTTGGCCAGAGTCTTCATAAAGGAGGTGGTGCAGGTGGCGATACAACAACTCTCCACTGCCAGGCACCATGTGGACACTAATTTGAGGGCCCTCATCAGTGCCATCTCTCTGTGATGCCATGCGTGGCTGCGCAACTGCAATTTCCCAGACGAAATGAAGAGGAGGATCGAGGAAATGCAGTTTGACGGCACCGGACTTTTCCATCAAAAGACCGACCACAAGTTGAAGTCGATTCATGAATCGCGTATGACCGCACGCCGTATGGAGCTTCCTCAACAAAAACGTAAGTGGCAATGGCCTCGATCCTCCTACCGGCAGCAATACCAGCTGCGACAGCAATACCACCAGAGGCAGCAGCGTCGAAGGCAGCCACTGCAGCAATGCTTCTCCCAGGGCCGTCGACGCTTCAATACCGAGAAACGCCAACATTGACGGCCCAGGCAGACCACTCTCTCTCTCCACTCCCCACCTTCCCGTCTTCCTTTTGGGGTCCAGCTCCAAAGCCGACTCCCCATTTGGGAGTTCATTACATCTGATAGGTGAGTGTTGTCCATCATCCAGCTCGGATATAGGATAGAATTCGATGTCATTCCACCGTCGAGCCCGATTCATTTTACACCCCGCTTTTCGGTACTATGTGACGAAGTTTTCCAGCTACTTCGTAAAGGAGCGATTCGACAGCTCTCCAACTCTGAAGGGCTGCATGGATTCTATTCCAGATATTTTACGGTCCTGAAATGGGACGGTGGTCTTCGTCCAATCCTGGACTTGCGAAATGTCAACAGGTACATCAAACGCAAGAAGTTTCGGATGACCACCTTACAAAATATCTTTCAGTTGCTGAGGAGAGAGGATTGGTTTGCCTCACTGGACTTGAAGGATGCCTACTTCCATATTTCCATCCAGCCTTTTCACAGACACTTTCTTCGCTTCACTGTCGGGTCCGACATACTTGAATTCAATGTCTTGCCTTTCGGACTGGCGACTGCGCCCAGAGTCTTCACAAAGTGTATGGCTCCAGTGTGTGCATATTTACGGACTCAGGGTATACAAATATACCCGTATTTGGACGATTGGCTCATTGTGTCGCAGACTAGACAAGGTCTTCGTTCAGCAGTACACGAAACTTGCGTTTTACTTGATAATCTTGGACCTTGCATTAACCGCGAGAAATCGTCCCTTATTCCCATGCAGGTCATTGATTTCATCGGAGCACGCCTTGATTCTACCCAAGAGAGTGCTTTCCTTTCTCCGAACCGTCGAGACAATCTCTGCAAGTTTATCCATCGGATTCGACTAAACAGGACGGTACCGGCTGTCACCATTCAGAGACTCTTGGGACACAAGGCTGCTGCAGTTGTCATCGTCCCGTACACCAGACTACGACTGCGACCCATACAGCTGTTTTTCAACAAGTCCTTCCAGCCGCTGCAGGATCCACCCACCAAGCTAATCCGGATCCCACTGTTTATCCTACATATCATGACTTGGTGGACTATCCCAGAAAATCTGTCTACCGGCATTCTGTTTTGGCCACCTCAACCGACGACAATCTTGTACACCGATGTATCCCTCGTTGGATGGGGTGCAGCATGTGCAGGACTTTGGGTCCAAGGGACTTGGAAATGAAGGGAAACAATGAAGCATATAAATTTCCTCGAGCTCCTGGTGATTTTCAACACTCTCAAATCCTTCGAGACTGTTCTATACCATCAGGTTGTCCAAATTGCTTGCGACAACATCGCTGCTGTTTTTTACATCAACAAGCAAGGCAGGACAAAGTCACCAGCTCTAATGCGTTTATCGATGGAAATTTGGGATTGGTGCATCCCAAGGGACATATTACTCCTTGCAGTTCACTTGGCCGGAACCGACAACGTCGAAGCGGACACTTTGAGCAGACAGATGTCAACGACCCATGAGTGGGAATTGGACAATTTTGCGAACACCTCTTCCACCTATGGGGATACCTGGACATGGACTTGTTCGCTACCCGGAACAACAGCGTATGCCAACTGTATTGTTCGAGAGTGGGTATCGGATCGGGATCAAGAGGGGATGCCCTCACGATCCCTTGGGACAATATGAATTTCTACACTTTCCCTCCAATTCCACTTATAATAAGGGTAGTGTCGAAAATAGTTCGAGACAACGCCACAGGAATATTAATCACTCGGTGGTTACCGAGACAACCTTGGTTCAGCACTCTCCTTCAACTGTCCAAAGAAGTGTTTCTTTGGCTTCCCGCAATTCCTTACTTGCTAACACAACAGAAAGGACTGATCCAACAACTGACATTGTTGAAGCTGACGGCCTGGTGCATCGCCTAAATCCTGCCGCCGACTCGATTCCAATGTCTTCTCAAGTACAGGACAACTCGACCCAACGAACTGTACAGAGTGCTCCTCCTTCGAATTCGACAGAAGATGCTTCGGTACCGACAGCTTTAGATCCTGATATTCAGGCGATTCTCAAGTCTGCTTTGAGACCGTCCACCCGTCGGTCCTATGCGGCAAAATGGAAAAGATTCTCATCCTTTGCTGAATGCCATTCGTTCGATCCTCAGATGGATTCGATTGAGAATATATTGCATTTCCTTCTACAAGTGTACCATTCGGGACTTAAACCATCGTCCATTAAAGTATATGCAGCTGCCCTATCGCATTATCGGGACACTATACAAGGCTCTTCAGTTTTCTCTCAACCTTTGGTTCAGCACTTCATTAGAGGATTACATAATTTGCATCCTTCTATGCACTCTGTTATGCCAACATGGAGCCTTTCTGTAGTGCTCCAAGCACTTACAAAACCCCCATTTGAACCCCTGGTGACTGTTGACCTTCGTCTACTGTCTTGGAAGACAGCCTTCCTTATTGCGGTCACATCAGCTCAGAGAGCTAGCTAACTTTGCGCTCTTCGAATAGATCAACCGTATCTGAATTTTCACAAAGAAAAGGTCGTTCTTTGGATGGATTCTTCATTTTTGCCTAAGGCGGCTACACTGTTCCATAAGAGCCAAGAGATTGTTCTGCCTGTGTTTTTTCCATCGCCCTCGAATCTGATTGAGAGGTCTCTTCACACTCTCGATGTTAGACGCTGCTTGACTTTTTACAGATCCCGTACAGAGTCCTTTCGTCGCTCTAATAGACTTTTTATCAAGTATGCAGAATATGACAAAGGATCCCCAGTCACATCTCAGATTGTTGAAACTATTGTCTTGGCATATCAGCTAGCAAAAATGGACTTACCTGGATTTCCAAGAGGTCATTCTATGCGAGCAGTAGCGACTTCGTCTGCCTTTGCCACAGGAGTTCCGCTTCAAGATATCTGCAGAGTGGCTGCATGGACTGCTCCATGTACTTTTGCCAAGCATTATTGTCTGTGCCAGACAAGACTGCTCTTTCGGCAGGGCAGTTCTCTCATCAATTCTTCGTTGACGACACCTCCCTCCTCCTAGTCTGGTAAGCTTGCTAATCACCCATATGTGTGATGCACAGAGGCCACGACGAAGAAAAGCAGGTTGCTTACCTGTAACTGATGTTCTTCGAGTGGCCATCTGTGTATTCAAACAACCCACCTGCCGGCCCCACTCAGTGTTGGTGAATGGAAATGTTATTCATTGGTACCATGTCTAAGTACTTAGGGCACCGATGGTGATAATGCTTATTGTAATATCATTGCAGCCGTTAGGGGGCGAACGTTTGGTCTTCAAGACTGGGCAAAATGGCAGACACTCCCCTCTATTTATACCACTGGGGGGAGGGGAGTGGAGTTTTCCCACCAAACCACTAGCTTTCTAATCTTCCGGCCTAGGCACTGCGCAGGTGCAGCACCCATATGTGTGAATGCACAGATGGCCACTCGAAGAACATCAGTTACAGGTAAGCGACCTGCTTTTCTCTCAGTCTCACCTCATGGCATTCCCTGCAAACTGGCCACCAATCTATCCTTCCTGTAATGAGGGGCCCAAAACTGAGCACAGTACTTCAGTTTCGGGTGCACCAGAGTCGTATAGAGTGGTAGTAATACCTCTCTCAATCTAGAAGCCACACTTCTGGCTATGCAACCAAGAAGTCTTAATAGAAGAAAATATACATGAATGTAAGAGTTTGATAATTCTGTTGTCTCTTAGTTAGATCCTTTGACTAAAGGGTGAACTATTTAAAGACATAATAAATTGCTGAAAGCATTGTTGGAATGCATGTCTATTATCTGAATATAGTGCCTGTATATTATTTTAGGAGCTATGGTTTTATACCAAGTTTCACATGCTACTTTTATTGTCTTAACCTGGATTTTATTTTGTTATACTTCAGTTTTTATTTGGAGGATTGGTAAATCTGTGTCTCTGGTAGTCTTGATGCAACTGTGGAAGAAAGGGTGCCATAATTGGATATGATATATCAGATTGGGGATCCATGAAATTTTGTATTATACTGCTGTTTTGATCATTATGCCAACTTGAGTAACTACTGAAAAGTGGTCTAAAATCTTTTGAAATGCTAAATGTGTTCTGTTTAAGAAACAGCCACAAAAGTTTCCAAAGGCTAACAAAATGTGAAATCAGGCTTTTGAATGTAGATTTTATACAATCATCCTGCAAATTAGACAGGGAAAGTCTTACTCTACGTAATGGCTGAAAACACAATATAGTTCCCTTAAACCACATAGGATACAGACACTGGCTTCACACCATATAATAACCCAGACTGATTGCTTCATGTGGCTTGTTTTGCAGGGAACAAGTCACCAAACCCATGGGCTATTGAATCCATGAGGAGCTGTCATGTCATCCAAACCTGGACAAGTGACCCCTTCATGGATATGGCAATATGGCTACAGAGACACATGATAGGAGTGAAAAAACACTCTTGTCATGAGGATCCTAGATGGGTGTGAGAGCCAAGTTGCCTGCAAACTGCTCAAGTGGAACTTGGGGGAGGGCAATCTGGCACTGGCTTCCCTCCATTGTTGTGTACTGTTTCGGCTCATCACGGCTTGTTTTCCATCCAAAGTGCCCCAGTGGAACATTGGAAGGGCTCCCTGCAGTTGCCTAACAATTTTGGGAGCGTGTTTGCCAAAAACATTTTCAAAAAATTGATTTTGTAAAATTTACCCAGTTGCATGGAGGGGATCCTTTGTGGGGCAATCCACAGTGGAGAGGATAAATGGCCAATTGTTATCATCTGTGTTAGAAGGGCAATTGTAGGATAGGAACTTGTTGGACTTTTCCAGCACATTGTCCACCTTAGACTTCCCATCCCTGCACTCATTCAACTATGAATGTTTTCAGTTGCAGAAATATAGGTGAATAAAATTTAAAAGTGTTTTTTAATTGCCAGAATTTCCAGGTACCAAAAAAAAGTTTTGCAACCATGGGCAGCCTCTCCAATGTGCTGCTGGGTTACTTTGAAGGAACTGCCTGTAATTGTCAAAGCAGGAATCTTGAAATCTTGCCTTGTGGTTCACTTTCTCTATCTCCAGTAAAAAAAAATTAAGTGGAAAAAGGCTGGGACAAGCCTGAAATGGATTGTGGCAGTTAAGGAAGAAAAACTTGCTCCTTTCATGATTTTCCTTGGAATACCTGAGGTGGGGGACTGAGAATACAGGGAGAGGGACAACAGTACATGGTGAACCTGATCATCTCTTGGGTTCACTGTGATTGTTTCAACAATAAAAGCACACTCTGGTTATTGCCAGGATGGGTTGTCATCATGGTGGATTTGATTTAAACCACTAGTCAGTAAGACTACATTTAAATTATGTTTTCTGCATAAGTCGCAAGCATGCCTTTCTTACCTATAGGTGGGGGAACTTCATTAAAATATTCCCAAACTAGGTTTATTTTATGGTCTGCTGCCATTATAGGTTTTCTCCTTCAAGGAAAGAATGATATGATAAACCTCAGACTATACACAAAAAGAGCCAAAGACTTGTGGAGTATTCTGCTCTTGTTTATTACTTGCCCCTCCCTTCTCATACTTAGCTTCTTGTGCAGATCTATTCCACTACCAAGAAGAGGCAGGTGATCTCTGCAGACACACTTCCACAGTTTTGGGAACTGTAAAACCAAGCATCTGTGACACTATTTTTTAGATAGGAAAATTGCCCAATAATCTTACAGAAACTTCAGGAAAAGCATGACATTGTGAATGGATTATTAGAATTTGTTTACCAAAAATTTAAAACATTGCATGAATATACAGCTTCATGCTACATAATTAAAAACTAATTCTTATTTCATGATGTACAACCTTTGGACAATAATGTATCTTAAATAGAAAACTATCTTTAGATAGATTTTTAACCAAAATATTAAAAATAATCTAATTGAAGTTAAAATATTTAAATTTTAAAAAATCCATATATATGATTAATATATGATTTAAATATATATGATTCAAAATTTTAGATTTAAAAATAAATATATATTATTTTAAATCCATATATGATTTTTTTACCCACATTCAATTGTGAATGTGCCCAGTCACAAAAATTGTTTTGCTGATTTTTCCCCACAGGACCACAGTACGGGACTGTTGAAAAGTCTTGGCATGCACTTATGATTGAAGCAGAAAAAGTGAGTGAACTACACCTAGAAGTAAAAGCTTCTTTAATGAATGAAGATTTTGAAAAGATAAAGAACTGGCAGAAGGATTCTTTTCATAAGCAAATGATAGGTGGATTCAAAGAAAGCAAGGAAGCTGAAGATGGATTTAGGAAAGCTCAAAAACCATGGGCCAAAAAGCTAAAAGAGGTAAATAATTGTTCCACATTGTATACCCTAATCAGCTTTGTAGCTTTGCTTCCACAATTCAATTTCTCCTCTCCTCCTGCTCTTCTGTTCCACAACTCCTTAGTTCTCTGTCTTGGAAAGCATGTTAGAGAACACTGATAAGAATATGGGGGCTATTTCTCACCTCCTGGGGAGAATGAAATGTTATGGAAGACATGTAGCTGAGTGACAGTCTCATTTCTGCCTTGCGACAGTGACACATGTACTGGTGACTTCCCGTCTTCTGTAATGCGCTCTACGTGGGGCTACCCTTGAAGACGGTCTGGATACTTCAATTGGTTCAAAATAGAGCTGCCAGGCTGCTGACGGGGACTGGGCGTTGTGTTCACATGACTCCAGTTCTCCATCAGCTTCACTGGCTTCCCATTGAAGTCCGGGCCCAATTCAAGGTTTTGGTGATGACCTATAAAGCCCTAAACGGCTTGGGTCCTGGTTACCTGAAGGAGCGCTTGCATCCATATATGCCCAGCCGCCCCTTGAGATCGGCGGGGGAGGCCCTTCTCCGGGAACCCTCCATGAAAGAAATTAGGAGGGTGGGTACTCGGAGGAGGGCTTTCTCTGCAGTGGCACCTAAGTTATGGAATGCGCTCCCCAGAGAGGTCTGCCTGGCGCCGTCGTTATTTGTTTTTCGGCGCCAGGCAAAGACCTTTTTATTCAAGCAGCATTTTAACTGTTAATATTGTTGGATTTTATCTGGCCAGGGCGGCTTATTTTATACTGTATTGTTGTATTTTTAATTTAATGTTTATATTTTTGATTTATATTATAATTATTTTAACTTAGTGTTGTAAGCCGCCCCGAGGCTTCGGCGAATGGGGTGGCATAAAAATGTTTTAATAAATAAATAAATAAATAAATAAATTTCTGCTTCCCCTGTGTAATATTCAGTTTGGACAGACAAGTGTTTGCAGTCATATACAAGTCTTAGCTTGAGAAATAGGAGCTGCCAAAGTACCCTGCAGGGAGAATTCCTTGCATGATAAGTAGGGGTATGCTACCCTTCCCACCTTCTTAATGTTGATGTGTTGGCAAAGACATCTGCAGCAAATTAGCCTTTTTCTGGACCTCCTTGATCTATGGATGTTCAGACCTGAGACCAGTGGTATACCTGATGCCAAGGTCTAGGCCAGTACATGGTACCAGTCATCCTATGAGGACTGTTTTGTGTATAGCATGTAAGAAAAGGTATAATGAACTGAATACTTTCAGTTTTCTGTCCCAGAGCAAAGTGATGGAGATTTTTTTAAAGAAAAGGGAGCCTATCTTTATCCATTTGCAGCTCTTCAGAGAGTTGAGATAAATATAGAATTCTTCCATAATTTTGGTTGAAGAATTAATATTTTTAATGGACAGAAAAAAATAAAGGAAGCAGAGCTGCAAACTTCCCTCAGGAAACTAATCAAACCTTTAGTGGATAAATTAATAGTGGCCAAGTATAAATTGGTAAGATTGTGATGGTACAATTTTATTCATGGTTATTTAAGCAATGGAGTTCTACTGGAAATGTATTTTTCATTCATTATTACAAGTGTCCTTTTCTCAGTGATGTGGTAGCTTTAGTCTGCAACCCAAAGCACACTTACTAGAGAGAAAATCCCATTGAGGTCGGTGTAATTTACTTTTACATTTATATCCTGCCTTTTTTTCCTTCTGCAAGGAACCAAAGACAGCTTGCATGAGCCTCCTCTACATTTTATCCTCTCAACAACCCTACAGAGTAGGTTAGGCTGGCTGGTCTAGAGTCACCCAGTGTTTCATGACTGAGTGGGGACTAAAACCCAGATCTCCTGAGTCTAATCTTTCACTACTACACCACAATAGCTCTCATGATCAAACATGCTTAGAACATTACTGTTTATTAAATTGTAAGTTACCTGATAACACTTTCAGGCTTTGATGATAAGCACATGTGTTTTATTTTGATTAATCAACAAATGCAGATTTCTTGTCATATTCAGTAATCCAGAATTTTGTTATATATTGGTGCCTCAGATCTACTCCTGTGGTCCATTACAGTAGTTTTCAACATACAATTTATGGCTTTATTGAAAGGCACCTTGGTGCATTTGTGAGTCCTGTAGTAATGCTTTGCCTCAATATCTAATCTCTGTCCATTTGTGTGTAGTGATTCAGTACAAGTACGACATATCTGTTAAAACATTTAATCTAGGTGGAAGCTGCTAAGAAAGCATATCATGTGGCCTGCAAGGAAGAAAAACTTGCTGTATCCAGAGAGGCAAATAGCAAAGCTGATCCAGCCCTGAATCCAGAGCAGCTAAAAAAACTGCAGGACAAAGTGGAAAAAAGTAAACAGGATGTTCTTAAGGTAAACTTCTTCTGAACATGATGCTTTATAAGCACTGCTTTTCAAAACAGACAAGTGGTAATATTACTACTACAGTGCTAGATTTGTGAGTCATCGCCAGGGCTGTTATGTAGGAATGATTCAAAAAAGGGTGAAAAACATTTGCCATAACACTGTTAATATAGCTATTAAATTAACATGAATTCCTTCTCTCTTTCCTATTCAATCTTAATCTGCTGTAAGCAAAATGTGTCTCCTGCTATTGCAGTCATTGATAGCACAAATAGCATTCTAAAGAAAATACAAGTATGGTTAATTCCAAAATTCGATTGATTTGTATGTTCTATGCCAGAGATCCCTAACATGGTACCTGGGACTATCTATATTTTTTAAAAAATTGTCAGTTTTTTAAAAATGCACATACAGTGGTACCTCGACTCATGAACAAATTGGGTCATAAAGAAGAATTTCATTAAAATTTTGACATGGGTAGTGAACTCTGCATTGGGAGGCGAGCAAGATTGCAGCCATTCTCTCCCCCCCCAGTGGAGATATGGCCGCAATCGCAGTTGCTTTCATGCAGGGAAGGCGTGTGTGATCAGAGGTGTGCTCCTGCAGGAAAGACATGCACTATCTTGGCCATTCCTTCCCCCCAACCAGCCATCTCCCCACCCCACCACCGAGAGAGTGGGGAGATGGCTGCGATCATGCTGGGGGTGGGGGCGGGGGAGATGGCTGAGATCACGCCTATCTCTCCCTCCCCCAGCGTGCCGTTTGCACTCATCTCTTCCTCCCCCAGTGCGCCTGTGATCACGTCCGTGTCTCCCCCTCACCCCCCCAGCGTGCCAGGATGACGGGCATGTGCCATGATGATGGGCCCCTGCAGGGATGACAGGCGCGATCTCGGTCATGCTGGGGGGGGGAGGCAGGGAGATGGCCGCACTTGTGCTCAGGTTGGTTGGTGGGCCACGATCTTTGTTGTTGTCACTTTGTTTCACATTTTTCTGATTTAAAAAATGGTTACAGAATGGATTAACCTTATTTACATTGAACCTTATGGGGAAATTTAACTTGGCTCACAACCAATTTGGGTCATGACCAGAGTCCTGGAATGGATTAAGTTTGTGAGCCAAGGTACCAATGTATTTGGATTTTTATGAAATGCATGCAGCTTTCTACAAATTATTGTTACATTACATTTCTGTAACTCTTATAGCTGAAGCTCTCTGAAGTTCACAATATTATATATGTATATACATTATGTGTGTGCACATAGATATACACATATACAGTATATCACAGAAGTGAGTGCACCCCTCACATTTTATAAATATTTTATTATATCTTTTCATGTGACAACCCTGAAGAAATGACACTTTGCTACAATATAAAGTAGTGAGTATATAGCTTGTATAACAGTGTAAATTTGCTGTCCCCTCAAAATTACTCAACACACAGCCATCAATGTCTAAACCGCTGGCAACAAAAGTGAGTACACCCCTAAGTGAAACTGTCCAAAGTGGGCCCAAAGTGTCAATATTTTGTGTGGCCACCATTATTTTCCAGCTCTGCCTTAACCCTCTTGGGCATGGAGTTCACCAGAGCTTCACAGGTTGCCACTGGAGTCCTCTTCCACTCCTCCATGACGACATCACAGAGCTGGTGGATGTTAGAGACCTTGTACTCCTCCACCTTCCGTTTCAAGATGCCCCACAGATGCTCGATAGGGTTTAGGTCTGGAGACATGCTTGGCCAGTCCATCACCTTTACCCTCAGCTTCTTTAGCAAGGCAGCGGTCGTCTTGGAGGTTTGTTTGGGGTCGTTATCATGTTGGAATACTGCCCTGCGGCCCAGTCTCCGAAGGGAGGGGATCATGCTCTGCTTCAGTATGTCACAGTACATGTTGGCATTCATGGTTCCCTCAATGAACTGTAGCTCCCCAGTGCCGGCAGCACTCATGCAGCCCCAGACCATGACACTCCCACCACCATGCTTGACTGTAGGCAAGACACACTTGTCTGTGTACTCCTCACCTGGTTGTCGCCACACACGCTTGACACCATCTGAACCAAATCAGTTTATCTTGGTCTCATCAGACCACAGGACATGGTTCCACTAATCCATGTCCTTAGTCTGCTTGTCCTCAGCAAACTGTTTGCGGGCTTTCTTGTGCATCATCTTTAGAAGAGGCTTCCTTCTGGAACAACAGCCCTGCAGACCAATTTGATGCAGTGTGCTGCGTATGGTCTGAGCACTGACAGGCTGACCCACCACCCCTTCATCCTCTGCAGCAATGCTGGCAGCACTCATATGTCTATTTCCCAAAGCCAACCTCTGGATATGACACTGAGCACGTGCACTCAGCTTCTTTGGTCGACCATAGCAAGGCCTGTTCTGAGTGGAACCTGTCCTGTTAAACCACTGTATGGTCTTGGCCACTGTGCTGCAGCTCAGTTTCAGGGTCTTGGCAGTCTTCTTATAGCCTAGGCCATCTTTATGTAGAGCAACAATTCTTTTTTTCAGATCCTCAGAGAGTTCTTTGCCATGAGGTGTCATGTTGCACTTCCAGTGACCAGTATGAGGGAGTGAGAGCGATAACACCAAATTTAACACACCTGCTCCCCATTCACACCTGAGACCTTGTAACATTAACGAGTCACATGACACTGGGGAGGGAAAATGGCTAATAATGCCCAATTTGGACAGTTTCACTTAGGGGTGTACTCACTTTTGTTGCCAGCAGTTTAGACATTGTCTGTGTGTTGAGTTATTTTGAGGAGACAGCAAATTTACATTGTTAGACAAGCTGTATACTCACTACTTTACATTGTAGCAAAGTGTCATTTCTTCAGGGTTGTCACATGAAAAGATAAAATAAAATACTTACAAAATGTGAGGAGTGTACTCACTTCTGTGATATACTGTATATATATGATTCAATAAAAGCAGATCAAATATCTAAATAAATATCCATTTGAGGGTGGCATCTACAAGAGATGTTGTAAGGTCCTCAGTCCATTGCATTATAAGAAGTTAGTGTTTATTATTCCCAAGTTGTAATATCAGTCTTCTACCTGTCAAAAGGGCACAGAGAAGCCATTTATTTTCATGAAAGTTAAATTAAAAGAATATGTATGTCAGTGAATATTTAAAGACTTTGCCAGTATAAAATTTATTTTACCTTTTCCCAAGAAAAAAGCAAATACTGGAAATTGTCCAAACATACATAATGTATAAAAGAAGTATAAGCTGTATTGCAGTGTCAATTATTAGCTAACTTAGGCAATCCAGTATGACAACATATTAGTGTTGAATAGACGCAAGACAAGTTTTTGCTGAATAAGGCACAACTCAGACAATATAGACATGATAGGTAGATGCTAAAGCAGTAATCCACTAATTAGGTATTGTGGTTGTGGCTCCCGCACCGGTTTCTCAATTTCTCAAAGGTGCCCACAGGTCTAAAAGAACTAAGGAACTCTTTTCTTTGCATCTGTGCACCCAATCTTATGGTGTTTGAACAATACAGTTTCTTGATGGATTTTGAGAATCCTTGCAGTGTTTCATTTGATGTCAATTCATATTTTTATTGTGGATTTACTGAAAAACATTCCCTAGTGTCAGATACAATGTAAGTTTTGTCAGGTAGCTCACTGAAACATTTTAGTTTTCTTTGTAAATTGATTACATAGAGTCTTTTTCTGAGCAGAGTACTAAACCATGGTTTATCAGTACAAGAACAAGCTGAAGCCCACCTTGGGCTTCTGTGCTCCCCTCTTGTTCTCAGTGTAGCTGCATGAATAATATTTGGAAGCATTCACTTCTGTTTAAATTAACCACAGTTTACCATTGCATTGAAATCCTAAACTGCAGTTAATTGTATAGTTAATAGAAACAAGTCAGCCTCTGAAAACAGGTTTGAAGTAGTCTTGTTTCCATCAAACATAGTTAATCATAATTTGTCAGGTGTGGATAATATAGCAAGCTCTTGTTAAACACAAAAAGAAATGAAAGAACTCCTTGCAGTTATGCCAGAAAAGGAAAGGAGTGGGGAAGCTGCAAGCCTGATGCTTACCCAGACTTATTGTGTAATTGAATATTAAGATGTAGCATTATGACTGAGTTTTAATGTCAGAATGAAATAGAACCCTTTTTTAGGGACACAGTATACCATATCTGAGCTAAGTGGGGGATTTGGAATTAATCTCTGTACCTAATTTTAGCTTACCTTGTTTGAAATATATGTGAGCAAGGTTACTTTTGCCTCAGTCATACTCATTCTTGCATATGCCTATGTTGGTTTATCTTGAGCTTAGTTTGCTCTTGTAGAAAATCTCAACTCAGTATTTATTTCCAAGAAAAATGAAATGATTCCCTCTTCTGGTGGATAGTTGTATCACATAGAATTTCACTTTGATTTATGGGAAAAATATCCCATAAAATTACTGCTGTGTCCTGCCATGTATGGCTCAGTTAGGACAAGTACACAATAAAATATCTAGTATTTTTGATAACTTTCCATGTCTATTTTTAAGACAAAGGAGAAGTATGAAAAATCTCTAAAAGACCTGGATAGTACTACACCTCAATATATGGAAAACATGGAGCAAGTTTTTGAACAGTGTCAACAATTTGAGGAAAAACGCCTCCGTTTCTTCCGAGAAGTATTGTTGGAAGTTCAGAAACATCTTGACTTGTCTACTGTTCCAAGGTAAGCATGCAAGATGAAAGGTCTTGCATACTGAAGTTGTCTCTGTGTGAAATAGTATAATAAGAATAAATAGTACTGCAACAGCTCACTACTTAATAAAGAATTCTTAAATACTGGGGTATTAAATATTACTATTAATTGGGGTTACACATTTGTATTGTTACATTCTTCTTTGGATTCACTGACTTTTGCCAAACATTGCTGAAGGATGAAAGTAATCTGGGTAAATTGAGTTTATCTAGGCAAAGCAATTAATAATACTGAAGAAAAAAATATTTCTTTTCAGCTTCCCTGCCAGGGCCAGTCAGGCAGACATCAACATTGTGCTGTTTCTGTTGCATTGTTTTAATTATTTTACTTTTTTATTTTTACTGTTCACTGCTCATGGATGTTTGGATGTGTTGTGCTATACAAATATAGATAAATAAATGATGTACATTCATATCAGAGCAACAGCATATTAGAAGGTATGTATTTCTCCTTTGTGAAAGCAGTTACAACATATTTTCTAAGATGGTGTTTGCCACCCAAAGTATTAAAATCAACTTGTTAGAATTGCGCAGTTAACTAGAACAATTTTAATAATATGATTAGTTGATTAGCCATAATAGCTTTTCCTGTAAAAAAATCAACATGAGCATATTTCTGATAATATCAGTATGAAATAGGGCTCCTATCTTTTTAAGGCCCAAGTCCCTCAAGTATATAATCTGTTGTGAGATACATGTACTGTCTCATTTTCTGCTGGTTTTTTTTTTTTTTTTTTTGGCTACCTTTCATTACCAAGAGGGCTGCTAGAAAAGGAACACTCCTAGAATCATGGAATAGTAGAGTTGGAAGGGACTGTGAAGTCCATTAGGTCCAACCCTCTGCTCAGTGCAGGACACCAGGTTAAACCACCCTCTCAGATGGCTGTCCAGCTGCCTCCTGAATGCCCTCAACTTCCCTAGGTAACTGGTTATGTTGTATTACTCTAACAGTCAGGAAATTCTTCCAGATGTTCAGCTGGAACTTGTAACTTGATCCTGTTATACTGTGGCCTGTATTCTGGGATGATCAAGAATAGATCCTGGCCTTTATCTGTGAGACAAGTAGAAGAGTGCTATGAAGAGTGCTGTCTTGTCTTCTCTCTCAAGGCTAAACATGCCCAGTTCTTTCAATCTCTCCTTATAGGGCTTTTTCCAGCCCCCCAGATCAGCTTTGTTTTCTCTCCTTTTGAGTTTTTCTGTATCTTTCTTAAACTGTGGTGGCTAAAACTCGACACAGTACTGCAGATGAGGCCTAACCAGTGCTGAGTGAAGGGGAACTAGAATTTCATGTATTTCGGAAATACTTCTATTAATGCAGCCCAAAATAGCATTTACCTTTTTTGCAGCCACATTGTTGACTCATATTCAGCTTGTGATCTACAACAAATTCAAGTTCCTTCTCACTTGTGGTACTTTGATTGAAGAAATTCCCATCTTGTAAAAATGCATTGGTTTCTTTTTCTTAAGTCCAGAACTTGGCATTTGTTCCTATTAATTTTCATTCTATTGGTTTCAGCCTAGCATTCCAGCCTATCAAGATTGCTTTGAATTTTGTTTCTGTTTTCTAGGGTATTAGCTGTTCCACTCAATTTTGTGTCATCTGTAAATGTGATAAGTATTCCTGCATTTGTTGAAAAGCATTGGGCCAAAAGTACCCAATTCATTTCCTTTCCCTAGTTTGAGAAGGTGCCACTGATGAACACTTTTTGAGTCCAATTCTAGTTTACTAATCAGAATATATGGGGCGCTTTGTCAAAAGCTTTGTTGGGCCTGCCATGCCCATTTATCCAGCCCACCTCAGGTTTTGGACTCCCCATGCCCATTGCCACTGCCCGCCTCACCACTGCTTCACTCGCTCAGAGATGGTTTTGGACTCGCTCAGACATCTCCAAGTAAGCAAGCCGCCGCTGCCGCCCACCTCACTGCGCATGCCTGCAGGCCCTCCCTGCCTCACCGGCCTGCACCGGTCACCACCACTTTTCAACTGACCCCCTGTTGAAAAGGTTTGAGGACCCCTGCTATGTGTGTTGTATCAGTCAACATAAGCAGGAAATCATGTACCTTGGGATTAAATTTCAGACAGAGTGGCTGACGAGATATGTGCCAACAGGAGAGGAGTGAATAGAGTCCATGATAACCTAGAAACCACTTGATTATCTGTTAGGTAGATTATGGTAAAAATCCATGAACCATGGTAATCAAGCAGAGTTGCTTGTCAGGTTGCGTGAATTCAGTCACTGTCAAAAACCCTTTCTTTTAAACATGGGTGATGCTGTGTATTTGCAAGCACCTAGTGGTTCAGGATAAAATACAAAATGTAGACCCAAGTAAGAACTGGTATGGGGAAGAAGTTAAAGATTTTGCTGTGAATGTGGTATAAATCCCCCAGAATATCCCACAACAATTTCACAGCAAAAAGTCCCTTCTAACTTTTATTTCTTTTGACAGCCTGCCTTCTGACATCTGTCAAGAGAAACCAAAGTGGGGAAAATGTATTTCGAGCTTATTTTGGCGAATATCCAGGGTTGGTACCAGGTGCCTCTTGGCCTCTTGGCAGCAGGCATTTGACTGGATAGTGTCCTTGGTTAGGCTTCCAAATTCCACAGTCACACAACTATGAGAGGTCATAGGTGCATATCTGTGCTAGGTTTTTAAAAATCAAATTACATTTTTGTGCATAACTTCAGGCATAAAACTTTTTCAAAAAATATTACAGTCACTGACAGCTCTTCCAAGGTGCAGCTTGGCCACTTTGAAGGAGCTGTCAGTGGCTTTCAAAAGTGAGATTGTGAAAGCTGATAATGACAGCACACTTCCCTAATCGCTCTCAAAAGATTTTAAAGGGGAAAGGCTGCAGTGAACCCAAAATGGCTTGCAGCAGAGGGGAGAAAAAGACTTGCTCCTCTCTTAGTGTTCCCTAGTATACTCATGGGAGAACTGAAGAGGAGGTGTCGTGCCTAACGGCTTGACAGAGGCGTTGGCACGCGAGAGAGGGCCAGAAGCTCACAGTGAGAGTCAGGCATTGGAACAAGGGGATTTATACTTGGTGCCCAGGGCCCAAATGACCACTCTGCAGCCCGACTCTGAGGCTTCCGAGCAAGTAGCCTCCCCACACCCTAGCTCTGAGTTGTTTGAGCAGAGTGCAGCTTCCCTTCCTCTAGACTCTGAGGTGTTTGAACAAGTTGCCCCCTCCGCCTCCTGACTCTGAAGCTGCTGGGCAGAGTCCTGGAGAACAGGAAGACGTAACAGGAAATTTATGGAATGCTTAGCTCTGGAGAAGATTGCTGAGGTTAGACCAATTGGGACGGCAGCAGAGAAGTTTGTCCTACCCACGGACGGAAAGACATGAGGGAAGATTGAGATCCATGTGACTTTTCCCCTCAGAGTTCAAAAAGGAGGGGGCAACTGAACTGCGAGGAGCTCATCGCCAGAGCTTATCTGTTGCATCGTAAATCTTGTAGCAAACAGCGATAAAAGTCTTTAGTTTTATTGCCGACTGCTGTGTGAGTCAATTGGAGACGTGAGTTACGGCCTCACGACAGGGGGAAGGGTTCCACAGTGAGCTTGGGCTCACTGTGGGTTGCTTGTTGCACAAACAACCCACTGCGGCTCATTGCCAGGGTGGGTTACTGTTATGTGGGAATGTGTCCACTAACTCCTTCAGGTAGTATTATATTGTGTTAGTTCTGTGTAAAAATGTCTCAGGAAAATATAAATTCATGGTAATTTAATAAAAACTGTGAATATGGAGGCACTTCCTGGTTTTAAAAATTAGATGTGATGGATCTGTGTTGTCTTCTCTTCATGCCGCCCAAGAACTGTATGGTATTGGTATACTGAAAGTTACCTTAATGTGTTTTATGCAGAGTGTTCATATTGGCGTCTGGCAGGTAGTAAATCCACTGTTGCATACTGGCAAGGTTAGCTCATGCACACTGTCCATACACCCATGGTAGAAGTGGAATTCTGCTTCTGCACACATGCCTCAATGCATGGAAGGGAGATGATTTTGTGAGACCATCACTCCACTTCAGCCAGGACAGGTAGTGGGGCAGTCATATTTTCTTGAGCAGCACAGAAGATGCTGTCTGGGGAAGGGGAGATCATGTACATCCCCCTTTGCACAAATATTAGGTGAAGGGAGAGCTACACATGTGCTACGTTGGCAAGCAGTACACACCTACTGCAGGCAGAGCCTACACACGTGCATGTAGCACTCTCCATGCTTTGCATATGAGGATTGCATACTTAGTGAGACAATGGGTCTGAAATTCAGTGGGAAGTGGCCTGCTAGCATTCTTGTGCGTTTCCAGACTTAATTGCAGCTCATCTCACTTCCTCTGCCAGAGTTGAGTGCAGGAAAGAAATACGGGGAGTGCAGGAGTGCCAGATTCTGGGTGGATCTTTGTACCATTAGTTGCCATAATGCCCAATCCTGGTAAGAGTCGTTGTTTGGCATATTTTACCTAACACCCAAAACTCATGGCTTGTTAATGTCTTCGGGGCCACTGGGTGATGCAGATTTCCACCTTCAATGCTATAAGTAGAACCTCAGGGATGGAAATGCAAACACAACTATTTCTATCACCAGTGGCGGGAGGGACCATGATGGCTTCCCCTTCAAGATCAAACAGCATCTTTAGAAAAGGTCTAAAGGGGTATTAAAGGGGAAAGAATTTGGGTGGGAGAAGCTTGGATTTGCTTGATCCAAAAGCTTCTCCATTGCTCTCCCCATTCACTGAAAAATTGAATGCCGGAAAAGGCTGAGAGACCCTCCAGTTGAAATTAGTTACACAAAAACCCAAGAGTCTGAAAAAGCCTCTGTTCTCTAGCACCCCTGCCTACGTCTTGCTGGCAGGGCTTTGAATAGACATAGGCTCTGATATTGGAGCCCTGTCTTTTGAGTGTTGATGCCTTAGAGTTGATGCCATTGTACTGTCGATGCCATTGTACTGTCGATGCCATTGTACTGTAATGCAATGTCATGACAGGTAATTAAAATTACTTATTAAATGCTGTATTTGAGCATCCTCTTTATTTTTAGGAGTTCTTTTCTTTTAGTTATCAGGCTAAAATCGATTGCAGGTATGTTGCTCATCACTTTAAATTGCTGCAGTAGAATAGTGCAACACTCATCCCATTTTTAGTAATGAATTAGTTTGTGCTTGTCAGGTGTTGTGCAGAATGCTTGTTCTCCTAGTTTGTGCTGAATTAGTAATCATATAGAATCATGTACTTGTCCAAAAGTCTGTGGATAGTGCCATAGGATTGACAATATTATAGAAATTTGTGCATGAGGTGACTGGATTGACATCAGTGATCCCAATTTTCAAAAAGGGTAGTAGAAAGGACATGGGGAATTACAGACCTGTTAGCCTTACGTCCATTGTAGGAAAAACAATGGAAAGGCTCATAATAGGGAGAGATCTAGTGATGCTAGATAGGGAAGGGAGGCTGACAGCCACACAACACAGCTTCCGCAAAAACTGGTCCTGCCTGACAAACCTTGTGGAATTCTATGACAAGGTTTTGAGATGGCTAGATGGAGGGGATGCAGTGGATGTGGTTTACCTGGATTTCAGCAAGGCCTTGACAAAGTGCCCCATGATATCCTGGTGGAGAAACTGAGGAGTTTTGGGATTAGGGCATGGTTGACTGACCGAAAAGCAGAAGGTAACCATTAGTGGAGAATCATCGGGATGGCAGCCAGTGACAAGCGGGGTCCCCCAGGGCTCTGTCCTGGGGCCAATCCTGTTAAATCTTTTCATAAATGACATGGAAGAAGGGGTGAACAGTCTGCTGATCAAATTCGCAGACGACACTAAAACTGTAGCAGTGGCCACAACTGAGGAACAGGTACTCCAGATTCAAAAGGACCTGGACAGACTATGGAAGTGGGCAGGAGACAACAGGGTGGCATTCAATGTGGATAAGTGCAAGGTCTTGCACTTGGGGCATAGGAATAGGTGTCATAAGTACAGGTTAGGTGACAAGTGGCTGGAGAGCAGCACTTGTGAAAGGGACCTCAGGGTGATGGTTGACTGTAGGCTAAACATGAGTCAGTAGTGTGATGCGGTGGTTAAGAAGGTGAACGCCACCCTTGGTTGCATAGCCAGAAGTGTGGCTTCTAGATCAAGAGAGGTATTACTACCACTCTATACGCCTCTGGTGCGCTCGCAAGTGGAGTATTGTGCTCCGTTTTGGGCCCCTTATTATTTCGATTTATATCCTGCCTTTTTCCTACAAAGGGCTCAAGGCAGTTTACATCTCCTCCTCCATCTTATCCCCACAACAACAACCCTGTGAGGTAGGTTGGGCTGAGAATCTGTGACTGGCCCAAAGTCACCCAGTTGGCTCCATGGCTGAGCGGGGACTAGAACCCAGATCATGAGTCCTAGTCCCATGCTCTTAACCGCTATACCACACTGGCTCATTACAGAAAGGACATAGCCAGGTTGGAGTCAGTGCAGCGTAGGGCCACAAGATTGGTGGCCGGTTTGCAGGGGATGCTGTATGAGGTGAGACTGAGGGAATTGGGTCTCTTCAGCCTGGAGAAGAGGAGACTCAGAGGGGATCTGTTGGCGACATACAGGTATGTGAGGGGATGTCACATGGAGATGGGTAGAGACCTGTTCTTCCCTGCAGAGGAAGGCAGGACATGCTCCAACAGAGCAAAACTCAGGGAACCAAGGTTCCATTTAGAGGCCAGGAAGCATTTCCTGACAGTTAGGACCCCGAGGGTGTGGAATGGGCTTCCACGAGAGGTTGTTGAGGCCCCATCAGTGCAGGTGTTCAAAGATAGGCTGGACATGCACATGTTGGGCATGTCATGAGCGGAGCCGGCTGGTGATGGAGGTCAGACTAGATGGCCCGGGAGACCCCTTCTGACTCGCGCTGTTTCTATGTTTCCTATCGGCAGTCCTCCTCATGTCAAAATTTTTACATGCTTGCATTAATTGTACTGCTGATCTGTGCACTTGACCTATGCACCTTTTTCTCCGAAGATAAACCCAATATATATATATAAAAGTTTATATTTTACCTGTATAGATAAAAGTATATATTTTCTCTGATAAAGTCACCATATGCTTAGGGTATATTTTTAATATAAACTAATGATGATGATGATGATGCCTAAATATTTAATGAGTGAGTATTGCATAGAACTTACCTTATTTAGTAGATTTATGTCCATCTTGCCATATTTAAAATATAGCTAACCTGCTGGCCAAAAATACAGTATAATAAAATACTTATAAAAATATTAAAATCAAACATAGTGCCATAATTAGTCAGCAAAGAGGTATTTTGGCTAATGCAACAGGATATAGAACTAATAATTACATAATTAAATAAATACAATTGGCAGGACAATCAGTTAGAGAAGTCCTAGGTAAAGAGATATTTTGTAGTTGTTACCTAATGCCTGCCACAGTTGGTGTCTTCAAATTTCAGCGGGGAGAGAATGCCATAAGGTGGTTGTCACAGAAAAGGTCTGCTTCCAGCTTGCCACAGGATGGCAATTGGTGTAGTATGGTACAACCAACAATGGTATCTCCAATTATCTTAATGATTGCAAAGGCCTATATCAGGAAAGACAATGTTCAGGTAACCTGGTTCGAAACTGTTCAGGATTTTCTATATCTAGAGTACCTTCTGCTTTGACCTGGTAGTTAATACGGAGCCAGTGCAGTTTCTTCAGCATTGGTGTAATATGTGCACAGCCAGGCGTCTCACTCAGCATCCTGGCTGTTGCATTTCATGCTAGCTACAGCTTTCAGATCAAGCACAAACCTTGTATAAATTACTCGAAATTTGAATTTAATAAGGCATGGACTGAAGTGGCCATGCTATCCTTGTCCAGAAAAGTATGTACCTAATATTCCAACCTGAGTTGATAATAGGTGTTCTTCGCCAGAGAAGACACTGTGGACCTTGAGGAGCATTCCCAGAGTATGTGCCTGTTCTTTCTGTGAGAGTGCACTCCTATCTAGAACAAACTTCTCAATTCCCAAACCATTTATCTATTGAGTGTCTATCTTGCCAGGTCAATCTGCCTTTTAGCCCTCAAAGTAAAAATGCCAGGTAGCCAAGCTATAGTTTATTACTGCTTACTTTCTGGAACTGCCCCCACAAGTAGGAGCAGAACCATTTGGAACAGTGTCCACAATTCTCAATATGTAGAAATAATTGAAAACTTTGGCCCCCAATTTTTTTCAGGTTGCCATCTCCTTTCCTCTTGGGCAACAACCCTAATGTCCCACACCTCTTTCTTTGTATTAGGTCTATTGCTGAACTGTGACTTTAAAACAACTAATCACTGCCCCCTGGATCTTTCCACCACCTCTAAGGGAATGGTGCTGCCCACTTTGAGAATTAACTGATCTAATAGAGCATTATGGTTAACAGCATTATTAGCCACTGGAAGATCGAGCAGGATCAACAAAGTTGATTCTGTTGCCCACAAGAGGTCTTCCTTGAGGATAATCACAGCTAATTGAGTCCCAGACTAGCCATGAACCCAAACTGAAATGTGTTGAGATAACAATTGGCTTCCAAGAGGGTCTGCAGCTACTCTAAAACACCCAGTTCTAGGAAGGCCTTTTGTATGTTGGACACTTCTTGAAAAATAACTTAATGCAAAAACTCTTAATATTTAAGCCAATTATTACTGACCTCTTGATTAAATTCTCTTTAATAGTTTTGTAGTAACTTCTAAATCAACATGCATTACTTACAGCTATAAAAATATTTATCGTGAGTTGGAGCAGAACATTAAAGCTGCAGATGCTGTTGAAGATCTAAGGTGGTTCAGAGCTAATCATGGTCCAGGCATGTCAATGAACTGGCCACAGTTTGAGGTAAGGATGTTATTTTGATACTTTCCTCCTGATTTCTGCAGGATGGTATGTAAGTGCCACAAAAGCATTAGTAAGTGATGAGGCTATTTACTGTATAGGACTAATGGCAGAATAGTGTTTATGAATTATTGTTGCATTGAGAAAAAATATCTTCAGGATGAGCCAATGATATTAATAGTGATTAAGCATTCTTTGCTGGCATTATTAAGTCCTACAGAAATTTTGTAATTTCAAATAATTAAATCAGTGTTATGTTTGTATTTTATGTTCAGATGATGTTTTTAAATGAATGTTTTAAATGTTTCAAATAAAATGCCAATTCTAACAAGTTTTTTTGTTTGTTTTTCATGCAACAAGGATGATGTAAGTGTTAAGGCACTCAAAATACTGTTATTCTCAAAGTTAGTTTTCAAATTCAGGCTTCTGAATGATAAGTTATACTACACTTTTGTTGTACAATTTTTAACTTCTTTTGTCAATGTTTACTTTGCACATATGTCTGAGGGGGCCCCAAAAAACCCAGAATGTACTTATAAAAATCATGTATTTTTTTATATGTTCAAAGTTCAGTCACCTTCAAAGTACTCTCTGTTTGATGCAATACACTTATCAAGAAATTTTTTCTACTGCTCAAAACAGATTTTGAACTCATTGATTTTGATGCTTTGTTAGTGCTTCTGCCATTTTTTTGTTTCACCTCTTCCACATCGGCACATCTTTTCCATTTGAGGTCTTTTTTCATCTGGGGAAACAAACAAAAAAGTTGCTTGGGACGAGATAGGGTGAATAGGGAGGGTAGGGCATAAGGGCCATACTGTTTTTGGTCAAAAACTGCTGACCACTCAGCATGGCATGGACAGATGTGTTGTCATGGTGGAGGAACTGGTCACCTCTTTGCCACAACTCAAGACATTTCTTCCACAAATCATGATGCAATCTTCTCAAAAACTCCTGATAAAATCTTTGGATTCCTAGAACACTTACCTAGTGAGGGAAGCCTGTACTACAAGGGGCCTGCCCTCCGGAAGGTAATTCTGGGGTGGGGGGTCCCCTTCATATGTTATTTCCTGCAAGCTCAGTTTGTTACTAAAAGCATAGACTTCTTCATATGTAATAACAACCCATGGGGTTGTTGCGGCCATTTGGAGATAAAGAAGTGCTGCCTTTTGCCTTGCTTGCTTCCACATTGCATCTAATTTAGAAAACAGCCCAGGAAGACCTGGGGCAGATAGAAGCTGATTCTCCCACCTTTCCTTGTTCTACCTGTCCTCAGTATCCCTCAAAACATTTCCTTTGAAGAGTGTGGGACCAGGCTGAATGAGGTGTGCTGTAACATGGGAAACTGAGAAGAGATCTTGCATTTCTAGATATTTTGAAAACTTGACCAAACACTTATTATTTTCAAGGAAAAGTCATACATTTCAGAAAAATGGAAATATGCAATACATATTTTAGTGCTCTTTACAAATCTGACATTTTTACTTTAGCAAAATAATTTATTATGTGTAACTTGGCTTGCTCACAATACAGTCAAAGATTTAAAAGTAAACTAAGTAAATTTGTAATGTCTGAGCAATTACACTTTAAAATTTAATACACCAGACATAATTTTATGAACAAACCAAATTGTCTGTAATGCATTTTAGAGTTCTTAGTTTATGTTTGAGCTTCACCAAATAGTTCCTGAAACATCGTGAACACCCTAGAAGCTAGAAGAAGTAAGAAGAGCTAGAGGGTGAGGAAGACCTGACACACAGTATCTGTTACTATTTGTGAGGAATTGGTTGGAGTGGGATTTAGGGAAATCTGGTCTGAAGAAGCTATTACTTAGAGTTGGAGAAGACTCTCTTATCTATAAGGAATTGTAACCAAGCATATTTAAATACCTTTTAAGTACAGCTGAACTTTGACATTTGCAGATTTAACTTTTGCAGAATTGATTATTTGTGAGTTTTCCATGGGAATTCTTTCAGAGTTTTGTGGCCTACTGCAAAAAATTGTCATCATCATAGGCAGAGAGGGGAAGCAAAAGGGGAGGGAGAGGGCTCTGGGCATGCCTTCTTGCTCTATCCATCTGGATAGAGAAAGCCCTCTGGCATTTCCTTAGTGCAAAGATGAGGCACTGGTGAGTGAAAGGGAGGATGAGGAATAGGACCTTCAGAATCTAATAAATGAGTAAGAGAGCCCCTGCTGGAGCAGACAAGGGTCTGGGGGGGGGAGCAGTCCAGTACTCGTATAGTTAACAGTTTTAAGAGTTAAAGGTTTGGGTCCTCCCCGGGAGTATTTGTAGTTTTTTCACTTTTGTGGGATTCTGCTCCCTTACCCCCTGTGATTGAGGAGGGCTGACTGTAGTCTCAGCTTCTTACTTGAAGACATTTAATTGACAATTTTAAATATTTCCCCTTAATAAACATCTTAGTTTTTGTTCATTTTCAAATATTGACAGTAGTGGTCATGTCAATCTGATATCTGTTCCATAGGAACCAAACTACTGAGTTTATTTTACATATAAAGGATTTATTTTAATGGCAGTGCTTTTATAGCTGAGGCAGCATTCCCTTACAGTGATGCATCAACTAAAGAGTTGGGTGGAACTGGAATGACCATTTTTCAGGTGAACTAAAAAGAGGATCTGGGCTTTAAGTGGGTATTACAGTACTTCTGGTAAGGTCATTCAAACTCTGGTCTCTTTCCATTGCCAGTTGAGCAGGGACATGATGTAGCCTTGTTGAATCTTGTCCCATAGTTCATAGCTATACCATTTGCAATTTTAAGTGGCCTTAAGGTAATCTATAGATTGTAGGACACTTGCTTGTCCCTATTCATAGAGAGTGCTAGTGGGGAAACAGATGACATTTTACCCCAGCTTGTCAAAACATACTAGATAGTTTTCATACAGAATGGAGACCTTGCAGCTAAGGTGGCAGTCTGTGGTAACAAGCAGCTCTAACTGATTTTCCTTATTTTTTAGGAGTGGTCAGCTGATCTTAATCGCACTCTCAGTAGAAGAGAGAAGAAAAAGGCTACAGATGGAGTGACTCTGACTGGTATTAACCAGACAGGAGATCAAGTTTCACAGCATAATAAAAATAGCAGGTATGTGAACTCTTTCAACATCAGTCACTGACCAAACTCTGAAACAGTAGCATTTTGAAGTATATTGGAAATCTGTAGGTTTGGAACCTTAGTCTTTTATGCCCTATTTAGACACTTTCTCCTAAGGAAAGATTGAGTCTCTAGGACATGTGCTTATTCTTGTGCCTTTCTAGTTCTCCTACATCTTAGGAAGAAATGTTGCAGTTCTTTAATATGGGATCATTCTTGACTTTCAGAGATTAAATTCTCTAAAATATGGGTGGGGGACCTCTGACCTCTTCCCTGTCCATTGGCCATTATGGCTGTTGCTAATGGTGTCTGATTTCCCTTAGTGAAAGGAAACTTAGTGCCTGAGAGTTTTGAAAAAGGTTCTGTTGCCTGGATTGCTTAAAATGTGTGTGGGAATGTGAGGGCTATGGATTGGCTTGGATAGCATATCCAAGGGAAATTGTAGGGAAACAACTTAAAATCTTTATGCAGAAGCTTGACTCTCTTTGGGGAACAACCACCTTGTGAACAACTGAACAATATTATGGTAACTTCCAGAATAATACAAAGAAACAGTAATCTGCATTATTTGCAAAAATTAAGTTCCACACATACTATTATGTGGTCTTTCTGAAAATAGGAGAATAAGTATCAGTTCTATACTGTGTCAGACCAGTGAATCATAGCGTCATCTATCCTGACAAAAGATTTTCCTAGGCTCTCAGAGGCCTTCCTTAGGTTTTCAAGGTTCAGATGCATTGAACTGGAAATGCTGAGATTTTATAATATCAATGGATGCACTGTATACTCTTCAGTACATAATGACAGATTTTTTAATGGCTGTCATTCTCATAGAATTGGCTAGAACTGGGTAGGTTTGCTATTGTAATTAATGAAGTGAGAAAGGATTAAACAGTACTTAATAATATCAGTTATATTAGATTGTGATGCAGACTTGCCTTTTGGGATTTTTGTAATTTACAGTTGTCCAGTTATGATCAAAATAAATAGACTGACTTTACCCATTTTTTCTCCCCTTCACAAATGTTCTTAATTTGTATTAGGTTAAGCCATAGATGAAAACCAGAAACCCTATTTTGGATGTAGAAATAATAATTTATTTCCCTTAAACAGTGGGCAAAACTTATATTATTTGCTAATAAGTAAGACATATTGCTGTTTCTAAATTTCATAATACAATTATTGAAGGGTTGAACCAATTATTTACTGTGATTTAGAAGGAGGCATAGTATTGCAGTAATTGAGGTGAGGAAAAAATCACATAGAAATATCCTAAAATTTGGTGATTTAAAGTTTAGTTCTGTGTTACGTGGCAAAACTAAGGGCAGATTTACTTACATATTTCTGTCCTGCCCTTCTCCATCTTCTTGTGTGGGTATATCAGACAAACAGATATAGAGAGCAGAAATTTATTTGATTGGAGCATAGTTCCAGATATTGTCAATATGAGAATTGCTACTAGTTGTATTCCTGTAATATATTATGGACATTGGTTGAGATATTTTTACGTACATCAAATGTTGCACATGAACTGGTTCTTAATGTGCCTAATATATATAATACTGTGTGCTTTGCTTTGCAGCATACTGCTCCAGTCTGAAATGAGAGACAATGGAGCTTGATCATAATTAGATATTTGAAATTAGAATAAATATCTTCTATATGTTAGGAAATGATTATGGAGAGTTAGGGAAATAATTCCATTTTGCTTTCTGTAACATGCAGCTTTTCATGTGCATGAGCCCCACAGAGCTTTGGTTTATTGCATTATGTTTTATTCTATGAAGAGTAAATTATGTGTAAGAATGGATCTCTGCATAATTCATAATTCCCCTAGTTTTGATCTAGTTCTACAGTGTATTTTAAGTGGCCTCTGAAATTAGACCTTACAGATAATTAAACTGACCCCTCAAAATTGTATTAAAATTTAAAAGCACTTTTCAAATACTAACTTTCAAAGGATCTGAAGAGTACTTTCAAATTACTAAAGTTGGTGATGGGATACTTGCCTAATGGCTGAGAATATTAAGTAAGTTTGGTTCAGGATGTCACAGAGGGCTAATTTTGCAGGCCTGTCCATTCAGATTGGCATGAGGTGTGATTGAGTGTATCCATACTTAACCGTAGCTTGTTCTCCAATCGGAGGCGGAAATTGGAAGCCCGTATTGCTGATTAATCTTCGTGATGTCTGAACCAGACCATAGACACTTCTTGGCATAATTAACCAAGCAAATGTGGATGTTGAACTACTTTGATGGATGAGAAGATGGAGTATTATATGTGAAAGCTGCAATTTTTTTAAAAAAAAGTTAAGCCATACACAGAAAATATTTTTATGTCTGGCTTTGGTATTTGCTGCATATATAGTTGGCTTCATGAAATGATAGGGTCACCTTAATGCTTTTTTTCTTCAATAGTAACCTTAGTGTCCCGAGTAACACAGTGCAGTCAGTACAGTCAAGTTACAATCCCTTTGAAGATGAAGAGGATACTGGAAGTACTGTCAGTGAAAAGGAGGACAATAAAATCAAAAAGTTGGTGAAAGACTGTTCTCAAATTGTTTTTCATGCTTATACTTTTCTATCCAGGGTTTCCAACTCAGGGTTTCTACAAAAGTATTATGTTGCACAATGCATGAAGTCCTTGTTGAGAGGTTACGTACTTTTTGTTGCAAATCTGACTAACAAACCAATGCTCTATCACTCTTTTGTTTTCTGTTTGGTTTTCTTTCTCTGGTTCCACAAAAGTTAACTATACTGTAATGTATATTGCTTTGAAATTACTTCTGGAACTTTGCTGCTGGCTGTGTTCATTGGATGCATCTCCTTCTGAGGCTCTGTCACCATTTAACATTCTTTCCAAATGGATGTTTGAGACTGTGTTGGTGGTTAAAGTCCTGTATGTATAGTCCTTATCTCTAAATGCACTGAATGCAAAAATTAAATTTGTTCATGATGTCTGAAATGGCAAAGTATGGCTCTGTTAAATAGGTGTCTCTGTGGTGCAGTGTTAACCTAAATGTATTCAATCCTCTGCCAGTGCATTCTGCTAGATAAGATACAAGATTTTTCTCTTGTGTTTAGTGTTAGCAGCTATGAGAAGAACCAAAGTTATGGCGCAGATTGGTCTGATGAAGAGACCAACAATCCATTTTCATCCAATGATGCCCAAGGAGAAAACAATCCATTTGATGATACCTCCTCTACAGTGGAGGTGAGAGTACGAGCACTGTATGATTATGAAGGTCAAGAGCATGATGAACTCAGCTTCAAGACAGGTCAGTATTTTTTAGACATACTAACCTTTTGCTACCATAAGAAATGCAAGAGGAGTGAAACCCCCTACTTTGCATAAAAAATATAATGTGGTATAGTGGGTAAGAGCTGGGGACTGGGACTCAGGAGATCTTGATTCCAGTCCCCACTCAGCCAAGGAGCCAGCTGGATGACTTTGGGTCAGTCTCTCAGTCCAGTCTACCTCAGAGGGTTGTTGTGGGGATAAAATTGAGTGCAGCAGGAAGAGAATGATGTAAACCACTTTGAGTTCTTTGATAGAAAACTGGCAAATCAATCAGTCGGTCAGTGTGTAGGATTATGTGTTCTCTATATGGAATTGTAAATTAGGCTAGTGATAGATAACATAGAAACATAGAAAACAGAGTGAATCAGAAGGGGTCTCTCGGGCCATCTAGTCCAACCTTCGGCACCAGCCGGCTCCGCTCACGACATGCCCACCATTTGCACGTCCACCCTATTTTTGAACACCCACACCGATGGGGCCTCAACGACCTCTCGTGGAAGCCCATTCCACACCCTCAGGGTCCTGACTGTCAGGAAGTGCTTCCTGGCATCCAAATGGAACCTTGGCTCCCTGAGCTTTGCTCCATTGGAGCGTGTCCTGCCTTCCTCTGCAGGGGAGAACAGGTCTCTACCCATCTCCA